GCCTCCTGTACATCGGGGAAACCAAGCGGAGGCTCGGGGACCGCTTTGCAGAACACCTACGCTCGGTTCGCAATAAACAACTGCACCTCCCAGTCGCGAACCATTTCAACTCCCCCTCCCATTCCTCAGACGACATATCCATCCTGGGCATCCTGCAGTGCCACAACGATGCCACCCGAAGGTTGCAGGAACAGCAATTCATATTCCGCTTGGGAACCCTGCAGCCCAATGGTATCAATGTGGATTTCACAAGCTTCAAAATCTCCCCTCCCCCTACCGCATCCCAAAACCAGTCCAGCTCGTCCCCGCCTCCCTAACCTGTTCTTCCTCCCACCTATCCCCTCCTCCCACCTCAAGCCGCACCCCAATCTCCTACCTACTAACCTCATCCCGCCCCCTTGACCTGTCCATCCTCCCTAGACTGACCTATCCCCTTCCTAACTCCCCACCTACACTCACCTTTACTGGCTCCATCCCCGCCTCTTCAACCTGTCTGTTTCCTCTCCACCTATCTTCTCCTCTATCCATCTTCTATCCGACGCCCCCCTCTCCCTATTTATTTCAGAACCCCCTTCCCCTCCCCCATTTGTGATGAAGAGTCTCGGCCCGAAACGTCAGCTTTCCTGCTCCTATGATGCTGCTTGGCCTGCTGTGTTCATCCAGCCCTGCACCTTGTTGTCTCGGATTCTCCTACTGCAGTTCCTACTATCACTAAAGTGGGGAGGTTATGTTTCAATTGTACAGGGTACTGGGAGGCCATATCTGGAGTACTGTATACAGCATTAGCTCCTTTACTCAAGGAAGAATATGAATGCATTGGAAGCAGTTCAGGCGAATTCAGAAATGGGCAGGGTTTTGTTTTATGAGGAAAGGTTGTACAGGGTAGGATTGTATCCACCGGAGTTTACAACAAGAGGTAATTTGATTGAAATATACAAGATTCTGAGGGGTTTTGGCTGGGTGAATATGGAAAAGACGCTACATCTTGGAGGAGAATATACAACTAGGGATCACTGTTTAAAACCAAAGGATCACCTATTGAAGGCAGAGATGGAGGAATTATTTTTTCTGAGGGTCATGACTCCTTCTCAAAAAATGGTGGAATTAGAGTTTTGAATATTTTTAAGGCACTGCTCGATAGATTCTTGGTAAGCAAAGGGGTTAATGGTTGTCAGGAGTAGGTGGTAATGTGGATTTGAGGTTACAGTCATATCAGCCATGATCTTATTGAATGGCGGAGCAGATCAAGGGCCTGATAGCCTGCTCTGCTCCTAATTTGCATTTTTGAATGAACGCTCATGGATCAAGGTATATAGGATCTTTCACAACTTCAGGATGCCAGCCTTAGATACAAGAGTGTTAGCCAATGATGTATGGCTAATACTGTCAGGAAGTAGCAGTGGTGAGGTGGCTTTCAAACTCTTCCAGATTGTAGCTTCAAGCCTGAGATGGGGTTCATCCTTAATGCCAGCAGTGAGGCCTCAGGAAGGAGTCCTTTATCCAGTCCAGCAGTACATTGGAGTTTGAAAAAGTGTTAGAAGAGGGCAAGGTTCCTTCTTAATTTCCTTTTCGTTCTGTTCTCTTCCAGCCTGGGCTTCTGTTTCTGATATTGTGTGTCTCTGTATTTTTAGGATTACGCCAATCTGCCCTCCGAATGTGAGGTCCCAGAATGTCCCACCATCCAGTCTCCGGATCAACCTAACTGTGAGATGGTTGATGAAACAGTGTTACTGATCAATCCTTACAGCAAGGTCTGAAAGCTAGACCAACACAACCACCAGCCTAACAAAGTTAAAACTGATTAAACTGCAGTCATCTCTCACTCTTC